CTCGCTTCCATTTATTATTTTAGCTTCATAATAATTACAAAGCCATGGCTGACAGACTTCCTGCAAGTTCACTTATTACTAGGCATAAAGGGCTGCCAAGTCCAGAAATCAAACTCATATGGACATAAAAGGCTTAGCCAGATCAATTCACACCATTACAAATACTGTTGAGAAGTCTTAGCATCTTACAGTGTAGTGTATATCACGTTCCAAAGCTGCTGCAATCTTTGCAGCTTTATAATAACGATCACTAGGTTTTTCAGCAGATCCTGATATGATGAGAGGAGTTCTTGCTTCATCAATGAGGATGGAATCTACCTCATCAATTACACAGTAATTGAAACCCCTAAGCACAAGCTCCTCAATACTCTGTTTTCACCACAAAGCACAATCAGCTTCCGCATAAGTGATCCCACATCAAAATATCTCAACGGAAATGAGAGATTGTACTATCATTGGAAAACTATAAATAGAGAAAGAATTACTTTCCGTGGCAAGGTTGTCTCTTAGATAATCAAACCCAAGCTCACTGTTGGTGACATACGTTATGTCACATAAATAACTTTCCCTCCTTTGCTCGCTTGTCATATTCTCTGCCAGCATCAATGTCCAAATGATACACTTACGCAGTAATCTAAGCTCCACAATAAAATTTCTTAAAGCAAACAGTAAGGGTGGATAATTGACCAAACATATTTAGAGAAGTCACAGAAAAAGTCACATCAGACTACCAACGTGACTTATTAGCATAATTAATAGGCAAAATGACACAAACAGTCCCTGAACTTTGGCCCAATGTGCAATTTGGTCCCTGAACTTTTAATTTGTTCAATGCGGTCCCTGAACTTTAACCCAATGTGCAATGTGGTCCCTAAAATTTTAATTTGTTCAATGTCATCCCTGAACTTTTTGTACATGTTTAATTCAGTCCCTGAACTATATGAAAATGTTCAATGTAGTCCCTGAACTTGAATTAATGGAAAGGACTGCATTGAACATTTTCATATAGTTCAGGGATTGAATTGAACATATACCAAAAGTTCAGGGATGACATTGAACAAATTAAAAGTTCAGGGACCACATTGAACATGTACCAAAAGTTCAGGGATGACATTAAACAAATTAAAAGTTCAGGGACCAAATTGCACATTGGGTCAAAATTCAGGGACTGTTTGTGTCATTATCCCTAATTAATATAAGAGGAAATTCATATCCCGCCATCATTAAATATTTGCAGGAATTCCCCAAAGTTTCAAACCTATACTGTCGCTCCATGTCGAAATTGCATGAGCTAAAAAACATTTGTAATTTGGACGATGCCATCATACATAGAACCCCCCTTTATCATTATTATTCCACACTGGATCCATACGAAGCATCACTCCCCTAGAAAGTCAAATATCTGATCGACCATAATAACTCTTAAACTTGCAGATACATTTAAACTTTTGACTAAAGAGAGAGAAAGAGTCACAAACAACCAATAGTGCCCTAACACCACTACCATTTTGCCAAGGGCTAGCTAACCTGAATTAGTGAATAAAACAAAAAGTTGGGCATCTGGAAATGAAAAGTAGCATAGCATGAAGTGGTAAAAAATCCATATGCACCTTCAAAAGCTTTAGAATGAAAGATTTCCTCATGCCAGTCATTGCCCTTATCATAAAAGACAACAAACAATGGAGTCTAGCTCATACAGAAGAATGAGACATACGCTGGATTAGGCCAACCTTCAATCCAAGAAAGCGGGGAACTTGGCCAACCCACTCACAATCACGTCGAGCCAAATAATCATTCACTGTGACAACATGGACTCCTTTTCCACTAAGAGCGTTTAGATAAGCTGGCAATATTGCAACAAGTGTCTTGCCTTCTCCAGTTCTCATTTCAGCTATCTCGCCCTTATGAAGTACCATGCCACCTGCAAAATAAAAGTTAATTAGAATTCCATGATAAGTGCATTGCTATAAATGAAAATAATAAAAGCAGGTGTGAATCCATTAATTCTGCAGATAAATTCCTAAAAACCAATCCATCCAATAATGTTAACGAAATCAAGCGCTCAATAACACCCAGTTCTATGATAGTATCGAGCGTGTGTGTGTGTGTATATATATATATATATATACACCCTCGATTGAAGGAAAAAGATCATGTTACAAGAGACTTAAATGAGTATCTTCAGCACATTTAAGTCGATGAGCACTTCCTCTCTCAATCATGTTAGGAGGACTTATTTATGTGTTAATACAAGAATCCAATGAATGAGCACGTGCAGTTACCTATTAGTTGAACATCAAAGGGACGAAGTCCCAGGACTCTTTTTGAAGCCTCTCTTACAACAGCAAATGCTTCCTGCAATCACACAGATTTATTGACCACGATCCATTAATCAACCAAAGAAATCGATGAATAGAGAACCATAAAAAGAGTAAATTTAAGCTAATGCAAGGGTTCAACCAAAATTCCTACAGTTCAACTTTGCTAAACTTAATCCTGCCCTCGTAATTTCCCAGCTATTTCTCATAACTTAAAAACTGCATTTCGGTTTCACTAAGAACAAGACAACAATTCCAACACGTCAAAAAGAGCAAGTGCGACGCTAGAATCGATTTCAAACTAAGAGGTGAGCAGTTGAACTTCAGAATGAGGATCAATTCGGGGATGCCAATACTGACAGGTAAAAGAGAATCCAGAGATTCGCCTTGCTGAGCTCGCTGCCTCAGAACCGAAGTCCTGTCTCTCAATCCCGAGTCCGACAACGCCGACATCTCCGCCTCGAGCCTGTTGATCACGCTCACGGTCCCCGCGCACTGCTGCCGGGTGGACTCGCCGGTGTCGCTCCCTTTAAAAATCCCGCCGAGCAAGCCTCCCAAGGAAGCCATGGCGCGCACCTGCCTCCTCCCCCCGCCGGAGCTCGAGCCCGACGCCCTGGCTTCGAACTTGAGCCTCCGGAGCGCCGTTCGCCCGAGGAACAACGGCGAGACCGCCGGGGGTCTCAGGTCGCCGCCCCGCGCGCCGCGGGGGAGGAGGAGGGACTTGGAGCGGGGAGAGAGAGGCGGAGCAGAGGGGCGGCGGGCGGCGAGCCGCGGCGGCGGCTCGCACAGCGAAGTCGCCATGAGAAAGAAGAGGCGGTTGTGGTCGTCGGAGGAGTTAGTTACTTGGAGCGGACTGTGGCTTCTTCCGGCGCTCTGCTTTCGCGTCCATGGAAGATGAAGAAGATGAGACGTTGAGAATGGGGGGATAAGGTGTGGTAGACGAGCCCCCTCGCACGTGCTTCTCGAATTATTATTGTGTGTTTTTTTTTACTTTCCTTTTTTTTTTGTTTTTGGAACGAAAAAAGGAAAACATTGACTTTAATTAGGATTTGGAGTGATGTTAATCTAATATCTCATCTAATTACTAGGTAAGTACCCAACATTTTCTAATGCCCCATTCACTAAATCCACTCACTTAATTAATTACTAGGTAAGCACCCGGCTTTTCAAAATAAGCTTTTTTTTCTTCTTAAAACGACAATCCGGCATCTCATGCAGATAGCTCGTGCTTAAATATTTGCATGTGAAAAAAAAAAAACAATATAAAATGCCAAGGCAAAATCTGTTTCCTATTCCTAAATGGAAACTTGTATACATATCTGATTTCGAGCCAAAAAGGAAAAATTCACGAATACCATTACTAGTTACATTATTAGTAGTGGCTAATAGGGTAGATACAGTTGGTTTGACCCGTTTTAGTGTTGGGCATGATGCTTGCTATTAATGGAGGAACAACACCTATTGGTGACATACCATCGAAATAAGGCCAATCATGCTAGCTTATCCAAAAACACGATGCTATTTCGACATTACAGTGTACTTCTAAATAATATATCCAGTGTGATTTTTTTTTTCAAAAATTTTATTGCCATCATAGAGTTCTTTTTTTCAATTGAGCGGCATTAGATATATCAACACTATTCATATATATACTAATCGATGTGACGGATTAAGAATGGATCATGGATTAAATACATGATATTGATAGGTATCGATTTCATAAACTAGCAATATCAGCATAGTTTGTTTCGCAATAAATAAACAATTTAAACAATAATTTCTATAAAATAATCGCCTTTATTCTTTGAAATAATTAATTAATAAAAAATATATATGTTATTGATAATAAATTAGGCCTCAATTCCTTAAGAAAACTCACAACATTAGGTTTAGTCCAAATTCCACCTCGAACTTTTTTTGTCTCGGAAAAAACCCTAAACTTTAAAATCCAATATCAAATCTGCCTCGGACTTTTTTTTATCTTAGAAAAACCCCAAACTTTAAATACAGTTCTAAATTAACTTCGAATTTTGTTTTATTTTTAAAAAAAATCACCAGCTTTCAATTTATTCTCAAATCTATCCGTGGCCCGCTCCCAACTCGATGTGACATTTTCACGTCGATAACAAATCCACATCAGCAAGGTGACATGGAAAATTATTTCCAAAATGAAACCGTTTTAGGATTAGAGTAAAAGCTGATGATTTTTCTCTCGGACAAAAAAAAAAGTTTGGAGTAGATTTGGGACCGGACATAAAATTGGGTTTTTTTTCTAGACAAAGAAAAGTTCGAGGCAACTTTGGACTAGACCTAAAGTTTGGGATTTTATTTTTACACAAAAAAAAATTTGGGTTAGAATTAGGACTAAACCTAAAGTTGAAGGTTTTTAGGGAATTAGGCCTAATAGTTTGTGTTTATGCATTTTCGTGGACGATGATTACTTTTAAGAATTTTTTTTTCTAAATAATCCATTTTTTGGAAAAAAAAAAAAAAAAGAAGCACAACAACCCTTGACATTCCTCCCTGCTTTTTTTTTTTTTTTTCAAACATGTTTTCGGTAACGAGAATTTATTTATTTTTTTCGGTCGAAACGGTAACGAGAAGTTAAAGAACAAGTGGTGAGGGGGAAAAGACTAAGACAGATGGGCCCATCCATGATCAAAACCCAAAGGATGTTAAGGCCCAATCGGGTGCTCCCGCGAACACCGGTGAATAAACCGCTCCACCAATCACCATCAGTCATCACCGCCCCACCCGGCTGCGTAGCCCCCTGCTGATCCGACATTTTACCCAGCAAAAATTTGCCGCGCCTTTGGATTCGCACCCGCGGCAGCAACGAGCTGGGATTCGAACTCATGGAGGAGGAATCCGCACGACCGGTCAGGTTGATGAACTTCGTCTCCGAGGAGCAGGTAACGAGTCTCGTAAACCCTAGAAGCCGCGGCCTACGTCGCACAACCTGCGAGGTTTCGTTTCGAGGCTCTTGGTCGCGTCGTCCGACGTTTCTTGCTTTCTCGAAATTGAATTTTGCAGTTGGAGGAATCGAAGATATCGAGGGGCGAGAGGGTTGAGGATGGCACTGCCCAGAGAGATAGGCCGCTCTATGAGGTTTTCTTCTGGTACCCTTTTGCGTTACGGGGAAACTTGAACCACGAACAACGAATTGTTTAAGGTTAAGGTAGCGTGGACATTTTCGGTGTGGGCGCTATGTTTTGTAGCTGCTCCTCCGTGGGGGGGTTAGGCCGAAATTTTTCTCTGCTGAGGTTTAGTAGTTACCGAGAAACTTCAAGTTCGTGTTGCCCTTTCAGTACATGCAATTTGTTACCACGTAGAGCTGAATCAAGTGGACTTGACGGGGCTTTGCATAGTAACTGTCTGGTGGTTCGGTACCTGGGCCGTGGCAGTCACGAATGAGCAGACGATGTAGATTGGAGTTCCCTTTTGAAACTGAACATGCCTCTTCCTAAAGCATATGGATGTTGTTTTTTCTAAAGTTGTGACGATTCATGGCGATGGATTTTGCATTTGAAAGACATTGCATACTCATTCGTTGCATATTGATTTTATTCTCACTCGCAGTTTGAGTTCGGGGACCCATCAGTCTTGTTCTGTGGCCACCACTACTTATTAATTTTTTGTGCTTTGTCAATCTTTCTTAAAACCGAGCTGTTCTCCTCTGTGATACAGATTTTGAAAGAGAACAAAGACAAGCGTGATGCAGAATTCAACGAGCGCTTCAAGCATAGTAAGTGCCCGTGTTTATATTCTTAGTCTTCATTTAAATTGGTCGTAAAAGCAGCTTACCGTTAACAGAGTCTAAGGAATCAACTGGAGGCAGACTATAATATATGTTTTCTTCATTACATTATAGGTGGAAACTGTCTTGCTGTTGCACACACCTAGTGTGGGTTAGGGGTGATCGGTTCCCGGTCCGGTGCGGTTCCAATGTGGAACCGGGAACCGGACCGGTTCCCAAAAATTGGGAACCGGGGACCGGACCGGTTGGTCCTAGAACCGGGAACCAGACCGAACCGGTGGTCTGTTCCGGTCCAATGGAACCGATCAATTTTTTTTTCCACTGCTTGATGCTATCTCTTCGTGTTCCCCACTACTTTTTTTAGAAAAAGATCTTAGTAAAAGGACCCTAAGTTTTGCAACCATGAATGATCAAATATCAATAATGATCCTCAAATTGAAAAGACCCTAAGTTTTACTCGGACGTGAATATGAATCTTTTCATAATCATTTTTTCAATTCTGCATTATGGCCTGACGTGTTAATACCGTACATGATATAAGTAGACGGTGGCAATTAAGTTCTTGAAATTGTCTGATAATACTTCTTTTTTCAGGACCGCCCAAAGCTTTGGATGAAGATGAAACTGAATTTCTTGATAAATTGGAGATGGTGAGATTACTCACTAGATCATCACAGAATGTGGTGCTAGTCATAGCGAATCATTTCAACGACCATCTATAACTTATAAGTCTGAATAGTTAGGTTATCACAAATGTGATAACTAAAGCCCTCAGATATGATATTTGCTTTTACATGGGTTAAATTTAGACCATTTGCAAATTTTGATATCTGGAACATCAGGCATTTAGTCAAAGATGTTAGAAGAGTAGTATTAGTAAATCTTTGAACCAAGCATGATTTATATAATTATTTAAGTTGGCACTATGTTTTCAGCCTAAATTTCTCGGAGTGTTGAGGCAATATTCCCAAATGTTACATTGTTAGATTTTCTTGTCAGATATGCATACGCATTTTTAGTTGTGATCTATCCACGTGCTTTAGTTAATGAAATGATGTCTCATCTTCTGTTATTTTAATTTATAGTCGAAGAGGGAATATGAGAGGCAGATGGCAGATGAGGAAGCTCAACAACTACAAAGTTTCCAGGTATTGAGGAGTATGTCTATACACCTTTATACGACTGCAATTCATGGATGCTGAAGTGGCAGTATTATGTTTAATTTGAACACTTATAAGATGATGCTCATCTTGTCACTATCGTTATGTAAAAATGGAAAACCATACTTGTGATCCGGCATGATTATGCAAGCTCATCTCTCCACCAATTTCAGAGATTTAAGAGAATGGTAATGAACAAGAGTCAGATTTTTGTCCAGTGTCTTGCTTCTTTTGGTCTCTTGCAACTGTAATAATTAATTCTGAAATGAAAAAATTTGTCAAAGAGCTTCTGAACTTTCTGTTGGTATATGGTACATGATAAATTCTAATGCCCATAATCATATGGCAGGATAATCTGACTCCAATACACGTGTTCTTTTTCAGGCCGCTGTGGCAGCACAATCAAATGTTGTGCATGAGCTTACAGAACTACCGACTCTTCCTGTGGTTAGTTTCATTGTTGAATTACGTGCTTCATATGCAGAGCTTTTTTGTCTCTGTATTTTACTTGAATTGGTGCTATGGATATATATTTCTCTGGAAAGAATGTTCATATCATGCTCAAATTAAAATATAAGCTGCAAAACACATTCACTTCTGGTAATGAGGGGCGTGAAGTACGATTCCAGGGAGGGGAATTGATCCTGTCAAACTGAATCACATTATCGTAGCTAGAGAAAATTTCTTGAAGTGGCACTCATTATTCAGGACCCTCATGTATATCACAAATTGATTGCAATACTGAATAACCTATCTGAATTAGAGCGCCAAATAGCTTGTAAGACCCTGAGGTCCTCTAAATTATGTTCTATGCTTTTTTTAGACAGGTAGGTGTTGTTTCTACGACCTTAGTTTAAGCCACCTTAGTGAAAAACTAAAACCAACAGAATAAGTGCTAGCTATCACTTGTTTTGGCACTTTACAATCCGGGAGCCTTTAGGACTCGAAGAATATCAAATAAAACTAAAATGTCATCTGTATGTGAGGGGTCTGTCCCTCCAATGATGTAGTTGTATAATGATTGATCGTTTTGGGGTTTATAACATACTAGAGGAGATTATTTTGGATCCATCATCTTTGTGCCGGAAACTGAACTAGTGCAAAACAATAGCTTAGATACTGGACGGCCTTACAGACAGTTTGCTTCTATACTGAGGAAGAACTAAAGATGCACTCGAATTTGTGGGTTTCAAATTTCAATCAATGGTGACTTCTATGCTCATTGTTGACGTTGTGATCCCACTCTTCTTTCAGGTTCTTTGTGGCTATTGATATTATACCTTTTGGTCTGAAGTTTCTTCTTCTTCTTCTCCTTCTTTTTGGAATTGAGAGGGAGGCGTTTTGGGATAATTACCAAAAAAAAATCCTAAACCTACTATACGGATGCAAATTCAGTTATAAATTTTTCAGTTCAGCCAATCTAATCCAAAACCTTTTGAAGATTTGCCAATGCAGCACTTCCGGTCAATTTTGATTGGAAATTACTGACGTGGACGTCAGCCATCCTACATGGCACAATCGGCGCCGACATAGAAAATTTTTGTAATTTTATTAAAATTTTCTGATTTTTTTAAATTCTTTTATATTTTTCTTTCTTTCTTTTCCTTTGTTTTTTTTCTACTAGGTAAAATGAAAGAATTTATAAAAAGATTAAGAGAATTATTGCAAAAAATGTCCATGTTAGCATCGAATGTGCCACGTAGAACGGCCAATGTCCACTTCAGCGATTTCATTTTTGCCGGAAGGACTACATTAGAAATTGTGGTTTAGGACTAATTTGGCCAAATTGAAAAGTTTAGGACTGAATTGGCATTCGTACAATATGTTTATGATTTTTTTGGTAATTTTTCTGGTGATTTTGTCTGTCACATAAGTCAGTCATTGCTTGTTTTCCATTGAATGTGGATTGTTAAACTTGGTCGCTGGAATAAATGCACTAATTCAAACACGTTCTGTTTACAAGCTCTTCGTCTATAGTTTGGTGATTCAGCTCTTCCTATGTACAGGAAGATAAAAAAGTTGGAAGGAAGAATCCACCAGCTCGCCCATTGGGTGTTGTGATAAAAGTCAAACCGCCGGCAAAGAAAGCAAAGATTGATCGTCAGAGTTCTGAAGAATATACAGACACAAGGAAAACCTCCGGTGACATTGGTGGAAAAACTTCGGACCTTGTAAAAACACGTAACAGTGATGGTGCTAATGAGACCCATGGCCTCCCTATATCTTGTCTTGTTTCATATAGTGATGAAAGCGAAGAAGAAACAGACTAGCTGGCAAAAACAAAGGAAGTGACGAAAAGATTTAGTTTCATCTCTTATAGTTCTAATGAGCAGTTTTATCCAACTCGTGTAGACATTCTTTTTGGATGATATTTATGATAAGGTCTATGGCAACATGTTCATCTGATTCCAGCTGAGACCGTATGACTATCTCAACTTTCAAACGGGGAAATTGTCAAAAAAGTCTTAAACCTATCGCATTTTTGTTAATTTAGTCCTAAACCTTTTAAGTTTGCCAATTCAGTTTTAAACCTTTTCACTTCTTTCCAATTGAGTCAATTTGGCTGGTCGGCATTGACGTGGCCTCCGGCTGTCCGGTTAACACTGACGTGATAATTTTTAAATACTTTTTTCAAATTTTTTAATATTTTTTTTTTCTGCCTTTTCCCTTTGGCTGGTTCGACGACCGGTGACCGGCCAGAGGGAAAAGGTAGAAAAAAAAAAGAAAAAAGAATTAAAAAATTCGAAATTTTTTTTTTTAAATTGTCACGTCAGCGTTGGCCGGATAGCCGGCGACCCCGTCAGCACCGGCCTGCCAAATGGACTCAATTGGCAAGAAGTGAAATGGTTTAGGATTGAATTGGCAAGAAGTGAAAAAGTTTAGGACTGAATTGACAAACTTAAAAGGTTTAGGACTGAATTGGCAAAAGTGCAATAGGTTTAGGACTTTTTTGATAATTTTCTCACTTTCAAACATTGCGGATTGAACATCTTATCACGTCATCGAGCTCCGTTTGAAATTGCAAAGATCCCTTGAGGGTTAGTAGCTGGCAATGCATTCCCCTTGCAGGTCAAGACGAAGGGGCTAGCGTTATGAAGATTATGATGGTGATGTTTAGACACCATTCTTAGCCATGCAAATCCAGAATCAAAGTATTGAAGTTCTGCTCTGCCGTGTATTTGTCTTCTTATTTTTGTCTGTTTCTGAAATGCCCCGCAAGTTTCTTCGCGGTGGTTGTGCTGGTTCTTTCATTGACTGAGCAACCATCTCAACGTTAATGGGCAAGAGGAGCAAATACGAAGGTCGACATCGTTTTGTCGATAGCCTGAACCCGACTTTCACAAGTAGAACGGTCTGAACAGGCCTGTTGAATTATGCATAGTAGGCCTCTTTGCTTTCTAAAGTTGAGTGCGTACGGAGATCTTAGTTGGCGTGGTCATTGCTGGCAGGAGCTGTCTTCAAATTGGCTCAATAAAGTTGTGATTCGGTTTTGACCCCATACCGTAGAAATTTGTCTACTCTAGGCGTCGCCCGGCTTTTTGCTTACTGTGGTCCAAGAAGTGCGTCGCCCTCGAAAGATTTGACTAGTTGAAAACTCATTACGCTCTCCCTTTCATGCAGTTGCACGGATTGTCTCGTACCATTTAAGTGTGAAAGAATAATGTCACAAGTTGTACAGGCTTCTAGATCGTGTCATTATCAAAGAGGCTATGCATCAAGTCGTTTTCATAATCTCGATGGGTAGGATTCCGGCTTTTGCATCGTTCGCAGTTTTCAAGACTTTTATATTAAAGAATGTTCCTCAAGATTCCGACGCCAAGCCATGATTTCGTCGTACCACGCAATCACATAATGGATTTTGGCATAATGGGTCATCCAACCATGTTCCATCTCGAGAACCCAACATTTCTTATATTTCTTAGGAATTGAATATACATAGATCAGAAACCGTCATGGATGACGTTTTTGCATCCACCCACGATTCTTTCCCCTTGATCAAACAGTTTGGAAAAATTATTGGAGTCGGAACAGTAGACCTTGTCGAGTTCAGAGCTCACAACAAGCGAGAGAATCCAAGACTCATGTCCAATTCTATAAGAAAACAAGAACTGTGCAGCACTGACGGTCAGGCTATTACTCCATACTTGAGCCAACGAGAGAAAGAGAAGAAAAGAAACAGTAGCCGGGGAATATAAAGCGAAGGCATTTCCATTTCTTTAGCATCGACTTGCTGTAGCTGTAGAATTGCATACGACATCTAATTGCATAAGAATGTTAACAAACTTGCGACTGTATTTCTCATTTCTTTTGTCAAGCAAAGTGGCAAGAATATACTCCTGTAGAATTATTAGCTACAGGGGAAGCGAAAGTTACAAAAAGGCTCATACAGTAGAAGCACTAGTGTGTAGGGCAACCAAAGATGCATAGAAACCGTCCTTGATGTTGATCAGAGTCTCGTGCTTTCCTTTCTCGACAATGACTCCGTTTTTAACCACCGCGATCACGTCCGCATTCCTGATCGTGGACAACCTATGCGCCACCACGACTGTGGTTCGGTTCACCACGACTCGGTCCAATGCATCTTGAACCACTTTCTCGGATTCTGCATCCAGTGCGCTCGTAGCCTCGTCAAGAAGAAGGATTTTGGGACTCTTTACTATAGCTCGAGCAATAGCCACTCGTTGCTTCTGACCACCGGACAACTGGACCCCTCTTTCACCAACCATAGTATCATATCCCTGAACATCAAAATTGTACAGAGAAATCAGAAAAGCTCATTCGAAAGCAATTGGTTGAGTTAAATACACAGAACAAGTAATGACTGTCAAACCTGTTGCAGTCCACTAATGAACTTGTGAGCATTTGCTAATTCTGATGCGGCTAGTATTTCTTGCTCGGTCGCATCTCCATCCTTTCCATAAGCTATGTTGGCACGAATTGTCTCATTGAATAAAACTGGTTCTTGGCTGACCAGACCCATTTGCTGCCTTAAGCACTTGAGTTGCAGCTGCTTAATATCCACTCCGTCGAGCGTAATGTGACCTGAATCAGGATCATAAAAGCGTTGCAGCAATGCTATCACTGTCGATTTTCCACTCCCGCTTTCTCCAACCAAAGCAACAGTCTGAGAGGAAGAATCAATTGTCAAACTTTTATTCCTTGTGTTCGACAATACTTTAGTGCTGTTCTTGTAATTTAATACTCAATTGTGAAATTCACGTTGAAGTTAGGCATCAGATAAAGTCCAAAGTTTTACCTTTCCAGAGTGAATGGCCAGGCTGAGATCACGGAAAATTTGAATGTCTGGCCTAGAGGGATATTTGAAGCTGACATGTCGAAGCTCAATCTCTCCCTTCACATTGTCTAATTTTGTCCCCGACTCATCACTTGGGTCTATCTTGGATTTGCGGTCTATTATTGCGAAAATGGAAGCAGCAGCGCCTTTGGCTTTGGTGGAATCGGGAGTGAAGGAACTTGACTGTGTAATTCCAATGGCTGCCATGGTCAGAGCAAAGAAAACCTGCGAAGAAAATGACTCAGAACCATTAACGGAAACCAGTTCCAATAGCAATCCTCCAGCCAAATAAGAAAAAGGGAATCATAATTCTGAGAATTTCTTAAGGAAAAACTATTTAGCGTTCAAAGAAAATGCGTCGTACCCTGAAGACATCTGAAAAGGTTATTTTGCCATCCTGAACGAGTCGAGCTCCAGCATAGAAACTTGTTGCATACACACAGAACAAGAGGAAGAAGGACAAGCCGAACCCAATTCCGCTAATCAGTCCTTGTCGAATCCCTGTCCTCATGGGGCCTTCACATTTCTTTTTGTAAAGTTGCATTATCTTCTCTTCAGCACAGAAAGAAGCAACAGTCCTTATACTTCCGACCGCATCAGTGGCTACTTGGCTTGCTTCCTCGTACATCATCTGCAAACATATAGATTAATACTGTCAAGAAATATCGAGATTATTTGCATGATAACAGAAACCGTGGTGCAAACCTTTTATGGCGTTGAAGATTATTACAAGCAACGTGAATCAGAAAATTAAGAGATGGCTTTTTCCGTTTCAAAGCTTTAAACCTAGGACTCAAAATTATGAATTGGGGATATATAAGGACCTCCCAAGCTATTATATTTAGTGAGCAGTAAAAGAAAAAAGCACTATAATAATGCTTACCTTTGCATCTGCACTGAATCCTTTCATGAACTTCACTTGTACGTATCCGTTGGCACCAATTAGAGGGATTAAGGCAAGGATGATCAGCGCCAGTTGCCAACTTGCAGTAAAAGCAATGACCAAACCGGCAACAGCACACGCGATGTTCTGCACAATCTGAGCTAACGCATCTCCAACCAGGGCTCGCACTGACGCCGCGTCTGCTGAGAGCCTTGCCCCAATGGCACCGCTTGAGTGATCAGGTTCATCAAACCAGCCAACCTCCATGTGGACCACCTTTTCGAAACACATCAGCCTTATTCTCTCGATTAACTTACAACCAGCCACGGAGAACAAGTATGTACGAGCTGGATATGCCACAAATGATGCAATGCCAAGGACCAGAAACATCAGTGCCCAAAACTTAGAATCCTTTCTAAGTTCATGTGGTGGTTCATAAAATGTTTTGATAACACTGGATATAAGTATGCCGAAAATCGGAAGTATCACGCCATTAACAACTGCAGCGACAGTTCCAATTAGCAAGACAGGAACTTCTGGTTTGTTGAGACGAGCAAGCCGGCGTAGGGAGACCTTTGGTGGTTTTTCTGTGCTCCCAGGAGCAGGGGATTGTCGTCCAGCCACGGTATCATCGGCAATGTTGAGTCCAGTGGGAAGACCAAAGGAGACTGAGAGCGAGTTGTGGCTGCTATTCCCTATAGATGATCCCCGACTAATGGATCGTTTGTACGACATTCTTTGACTGGACTGTCTGTTATAATCAGTAATCTCTGACCTGTTTTGGTCATCTGGTGCTTGTTCGGACTCTCTGTTCACTTCCTGCAAGCGTATTAGCTGAGAATATGCACCGTCTGGATCTTTGAGCAGTTCAGAGTGTGAACCTGGACAGTTTTGGAGAGGCGTAAATCGTCAATCATATAGTTGCACCAGCTAGGAAATCATAGCTCCTTTCGCTCAATTCACAGTTTCATTGTTCAATTCAAGTTAGATTGCAAACCTACCTTTCTCCACCATTTTTCCACGATGAATAACAGCAATCATATCGGCATTCCTAACCGTGCTCAAACGGTGGGCAACAATGACAGTTGTCCGGTTGCCCATAATCCTGTCCAAGGCCTCTTGGACTACTCTTTCAGATTCTGCGTCGAGTGCACTGGTGGCTTCATCCAGGAGCAAAATACGAGGATCTTTAAGAATCGCTCTTGCTATGGCTACTCTTTGCTTCTGCCCGCCAGACAGCTGAGTCCCATGTTCACCAACCATAGTGTCCAAGCCCTAAATGTCAAAAGTTCAAAAATCATGACGTAGTACGATCGAGAAGGTAAGAAAGGAATTATTGTTTGGCCAGAGAAAAGAAGAAAGCCGGTTCATCGATCGTGGAGTTGCATAATCTTTATACCTGCGGCAACTTGTCTATAAACTTGGCTGCGTTCGCAAGTTCTGCAGCAGCCTTGATCTCTTCAAGCGTGGCGCCTTCCTTTCCATATGCAATATTTTCCTTGATGCTGCACGCGAATAACACAGGCTCCTGGCTGACAAGCCCAATTTTGCTCCTGATCCATTTAAGCTGAAACTCTTTAAGGTTGATCCCATCGATAAGTACTTCACCGGATTGTGGATCGTAGAATCTCTCTATCAGACTGATCACCGTGGACTTCCCACTTCCGCTTTGTCCCACCAAAGCGGCAGTTGTACCACTCGGGATGCTAAGAGAGAACCCGTTGAATATTTGCTCATCGGGCCTGGCTGGGTAACTGAAATAAACATCCCCCAACTCTATATCTCCACGAATGTCGTCCAGTTTCTTTCCTTTGGTATCAAAAGAATCGATCTCCGGGTTCCTGTGGATGGTCTCGAACATCTTATATGCAGCAGCTTGACCAGCAGCAAATGCACTCATGCATGGAGAAGCCTGCCCAAGAGACCTAATGAACATCCGCACCATGCCCAAAAAAACGAGGGAAAGAAGAAAGAAAATCCATGATTAGCCTTTCTAAATTTCTCTAGGGTAAATAAGGAATTGAACCAAGAGAACGAAGATTAAAAAGAAAAAGGACAGTTTGAGTGCAACTCACATGGAACCAGTCAAGACTGCCATGATCACATTAATCACTTTGCCCCCATTATATCCCTTGTCTAATATCAACTTCCCGCCGTACCATACCGCCAAAGCATAACCGCCGAAGATGATGAGCATGACTGTTCCAAGACCTAATCCAGCCGCCAGGCCTTCGTGGACACCTGATCCGTATGCATGCACAAGGAATTTGCTGTAATTTGCAATTGCTCGCTTCTCTCCGGTAAACGATGCAACCTACCGTAAAAGATTAGAGTTATGGATGAATATGAGTTTTAGAGCAAAGACATCAAGACATCTGTTTTGTTCTTGGAAGTATGTCGATTTGGTTGGCACACATGCGCAATTATGGTATTCAGCTGCGTCATGCAACATACCGTCCTGATCGAACCAATTGTCTGTTCAACAACATTTGCTGCCTTTGCATACGCACTTTGCCCACGAGATGCTGTCTTTGAGATGATGAGCGACATAACTCCACCCGCAGTCACTAGCAGAGGAATCATGGTTAGCATGACCAGGGTCAATAGCCACCCCTTGATAAATGCTATCACGAAGCCTCCAACAAATGTTGACACGAGCTGTATGAACTTCCCCACCTGCACGAATCTAGCAATCCGTTAAAATCCAGTACGAAAAGTGTATACTGAGTACACCAGACAAAATACTCATTCTTTCACAATTGTTATGCCGGTACAAGGAAAGTATGACCTTTTCACCCATGGCATCCTGGATGAGAACTGTGTCGCCCGACATTCTCCCGACGACCTCTCCGGTGTTGGTCTCTTTGTCAAAGAAGGCAACATCTTGTCTCAATATAGTTTGCAAATACAGGCCCCTTATTCTCGCAGCCTGTCGCTCGCCGGTGACCATCCAGCAAGACACCTCTGACCAAATGAAAGGAAGAACGAAGATCAAATTTTCTCATTTCCTAAGATGAAGAGTTTGACTGCGAACTAAAAGTAAATCAAGACTCAAGATGCACTCACGAAGAAACGCAGCTGCACCACACCCAAACGCCAGGTAGACAAACTTCAGAGCTATCTGAAGATTTCACAAACAATCTATTCAGTTGATTCGCAATCTCAACACAAGCACTTTAAAAGAAATTTCCCTTTCGAGAAAAGAGTTTCTCTGTAACAATCCGCCAAGTCCATATTTGCAAAGCTTTTACCTTGGACACAAGATCTACAACATCAGTGTTAGCCTGGTTCTCGCCGAATGTACCAATCAGCTGTCCAAACAAAACGGTCATAAGGGGCAGGGAAAGGCCATTACCGACCGCTCCTATCGACCCAACAACCATCAATAGCATATCCGTAGAATCTGCAAATGAGAACAGCTTGTGGAATGGAACCGAGTTTGCTTCATCTCCCTTGCTCTTGTTGGAGTCCTGCTCATTCTCATTCACGGCAGGGCTCTTCGCCGCCGCCGCCGCCACCTCGAGGCTCCTCGATGTGGTGGCTTCATTGGTTCCTGAATCTTCGGTTGCTCCATTTTCAATAGCCATGCTACCGTACCAAGGACAGATCTGTTATGCAACTTCTTTATTCTGTATATATACACAGAATTGTCTTGGAGGGCTGCATCATTAAACATCTAGAAATTACAGAGTATCTTCTTGTGGGATTTGAATGGGTTAGCTATTAAGCAATCAAGATGCAAGACATTCTTTCAACCATAAGAGTCAAAACTACAGAGATCAAAGACCGCTGATCTACGGGACTGTACTTTGAAAAGAGTTTTGATCTCATTGGTTTAGCACCCTTAAAAAAATCAACTAGAATAATGAATCATTAGCCTGATGAGTCGTGAAACTGGTAAATTTAATGTGGGTGTGCGAGTGTGAACGCAAATGGAGACTCAAGAAACTGAAGGGTGCACAAGAAGCCTCCCAAAGCAGAAGCTGTCCAAAAAAAAATCCCACAGGAGAAGTTAGCCAATGGACAACCATGTCTAAATACCATTCACGAGAAACAGAGTAAAGAAAGGTTGATATGATGAATTCATCAGATTCGTGCCAAAACCACCTTTGATCTGAACCAGCACAAAAGAGCCAAATCAACTCTCTGTTCCTTCCTTTCTTTTTGTGCTCTACCTCCTGTTTTGCGAGAATCTGCCCGCAAAAGGAGGCGAAAATACGGACCTTTTGCTCTGCCTCTACCTCAGGCAGAGTCATGAATCATTCACCAACTCCGACAGTGTTCTCCAGATAAGCCAGAGCACAACAAGACGCAAACAGCCAAAGGCAGACTGGCACAGAGGGAGACAGAGAGCGAGAGAGAGGGACGCATTATCTCACCTGAAGCTTCTCAAGAAATAGTCAGCTCACAAAAGTGAGCACTGTTGTCTTCCGGGATCCCGAGAAAAGAATTATGGCAGGCACTTTCGAGACTGCTTTCCTGATCTGCAGCTTCCACCAACGGCTCCTTCTCCATTATATGCACTTCCAGATTGCTTGTCCTGCAAGCATAGCATGGCACCCCCGGGTCGCTCTCTCTCTCTCTCTCTCTCTCGGCGGTCAAAGACTCCCGCGGCCCAACATTTTCTTGTCAACCTCCACTTACGGATCTTTCGGCTTAAATTTAAATGTTTTACTTTTCTTTTCTTGGTTGTCAAACCCAGATTTCATTTTGTCCCATGCATCTCTGTTTTTTCCCGATAGAATCAGGGCATGAAAACTTCTCAGCACCCAAGAAGATCTCTTTGCTCATCACAACCCAGGATCTCTCGTTTCTCGGAAAGTGGTTACCTTGTTTCCTTCGGGGCAGCAATATAGGAGTCGCGTGAAATCCTCTTTTCTTGAAATAGGGTTTGTGCCGTTTCACTAGCGCACGCACCAAGAACTTTGACCTTCATACATGCTCTCACGTATCATCTGTGACCCCCGTGACATGACAAGTAAATTTGCACTTCTCCTCTCCTTCTTTTATCCCCCCCCCACTCGGAGAAGTTTCCTAAGCAGGAATGTGATTCTGGTCTAGATGCTCCCTCCTTTCTTCTGGCCTGGACCTGCAGGCATCATTTTGCCTGGTTGGCTTTTCATAAAGTGCAAATTTGACTTTGCACAAGTGATATTTTTTTTTTTTCGAGCAATAGATTTTCGCGATAAACCGATCATATAATAATTCATGTAGTTTTTATCAATAGGGTGCTTTCGAGGTGCTTTCGGGGCGCTGATTAAGTTAATCGAACATGAAAGTTACGTCTATTAATTATACTTTGAAAATTGGGGAATCACGCATTTTAATTGGTCCGCTTACTTCATATAAATAGCTGCAATGCATTGACAAATGAAGCAACTGCAAGGAAAAAATCATCATCTCTATTTTTACTGTAGGGGCTGGTGGTTGATTATTGGTACTAAGTCAAGTCCAAGTTGTATTTTCTATACATTTATTGCAACAAGACGGTGTGGTGGCGGCCACCAACCTTGCTTGGCGTGAGTACGAAAATTTGGCACGAGTATAGTGTGTAAAGGGTTTTTTTTCCAAATTCCTTATCACTTAAGCAAAGATTAGGTGCGGATAAATTTCGTTTTAAATAGTATAATTACTGTTGAAAGAAGGGGGAAACAAATATAGATAATGCGGACAAAGGAATGGGCGGAGCGTCGGCATTGCAGAGTTGATTGAAAAGGATCGATAGGCTGAGTTAATGGTGGGACAAGTAAGAGTCGCATCACCCCTCTTGGACGATTTTGACGCGCAACATGCATACATAATAGGAAAATAGTAACATGCACCGGATCCACGTGGACCGAGCGAATTGCAGTAAGTTGAGTGGTACGGGCTCTATGTGAGACTCACCTGATCAATAGCTAAAATTCACTCGTTTTACTGATTATGGAAAGGTTCGGATCACAATTTGCTCGCTCGGAAAGTGCAATTGCATCTCATTAACATGTTTTACGTGACGCACGATCAACAAGCGACAACACCCGACCTTTTTGCTAGAAGCAATGATGCATGAATAAAGTGGAGCATTCCAATGATGTTCGACAGAAATAACTTGACCACTAATTGCACAACACAATGAGAATTTAGGCGTTCAAAATTAGAAAAAGTGCTAGTGTGACGTGCCCTACATGCACCATCTGCGTAGACATGATCAATGAGCCGACCGAGCCTGCTATCGAGCTTAAATTTCAATTTTCAAACGTTCTTCACCTCAATTTTCTCTCTTTTTTTTCCTTACAAGGTCTCAATAAAATTGATCGAGCATGATGATCCCGAGCAAGTCAAGGTTCGCGGGTCGGACCCAAGAAGGAGTTGGTCGATCAAGACTGCCCATCGTTATCTTTCGAGGTGACAAGGCTTGAACTCCTCGGAGGGCCACCCAATTCCCGATCACCTCTACATGCGATTACTCATTTGTTATTTAGTTCGCTTTCTCAGAGAAAAAATGAAAATCGTTAATTGTAAGAGAAATTGATTTAAAATTTTACCCTTTGCCCAAATATTTCATAATTTTAAAGTGGATTACCTAATTGGCAAACCATCAAAGCATACGGGACATTTTCCACTTCCAAATAATTGATAATATCCTCCATGAAAAAAAGCTCGGCGAAAAAGGGTTGGTTAAGAACCCTCAGAATTAATAGTTACTAATAGGACAATTGAGAGACTTTATGTAGATTTGATATGTTTGAATTTTAATTTTTAATTTTTTTCCTAATCCATTTTTTTAATATCTAAAATCTCTATATGTTTAATACAAATTATCAATTGATTATGGTCAAAATGGAATTTGCATTGTCTTTTTTTGGGAAAATGCCGTGAGAAACTCCAAACTAAGCCCACTATGACACAATTATCCTTAACTTTTTTTGTTGTGATATTAAAAATATCAAACTATGCGCACCGTGACACATTCACTCTAAACTTTTTCTTGTGACATAAAAATCTCCAAATTATACTTACGTGATACATTTACCCTCTGTCAATATTTTGTTATATAAGTTTTCAGCCAAAATGACGTCATTTAATTCACTTAAACCACGTGAGCGCTATGTCAATACTGTTTACTTTCTGACGTCCATGTACGTGAATTTTTAACGGTTTTCATTGATAGAACTTTGACGGAGGGTATTTGTGTCACACATGTATGAGTTTAGGATTTTTGGTATCATAGATATAAAATTTAGGATAAATGTGTCCCAGTTTATATAATTTAGGATTTTTAATGGTTTTTACTTCTTGTTTTTTCACTAGAAAAACAAAGAGAAACCTAGAAATCATCTTTGATAAAAAAAAAAAAAACAAAGGGAAGGAGCTTCTACGGCGGAGTGCAACAACAGCACAGAAAGAGACTGTGGAACTGAGGGCGCCATCCCACGCGAGCGGCCAGCGAATGAAGGCCGCTCCCCTCTGGGGTCGGCTTCCAGATGGGCGGCGGAAGCAGAAGGTCCGAGGCGGCGCATGGGCAGCACGGCGACAGCCTCGGCGTTCGGGACCGGGTTTCGTTCTGCATACCGCTGGTTCAGATGGGCACCAACAAAGGCGGGGGGGAAGCCGCCCTCTTCCCTTGAATGATGCATGACACACCTCAGCAGCTAAGCTGAACCACCACCTCAGCATCATAAAATCGTTGACTATTTTCACGTTCTCCTTCTTGTCGCCCGTCAATGTGCTCTCGCGGCGCTACAAAGACAACACACGAAATCTTGTCACGCAAGGCACAAGAGATAAGTGCAATATTTACTCTTTGATCACGTCTATATAGATGGCCACAACTACATAGGGGCGGGTGTCGGGACTCTTCGACTGCCCTGATGAATCTGCACCGGCTCGAGAGCCCCCCCCCCCCCCCCCCGCATCTCACCGACTGGTAATCACCGAGGACGCCCACGCGAAAATGCTAGACTATTAAAATCGAACCGAATCGAAAATTGAAAAGGATAGAAAGATAAAACCCCAACGAGAATTTCTACGGTGGTTTTTGTCGCCACGGCATTATTGGAAACTCCTTTAATGTACTTTTGATATTGAAAATGAAAGGATAATACCATCACGAATGAAAAAAGGGCCCCCTTACCTACTCCCTCCATTTGGACAGAAAAGAATGGATCGTGCAAAATTTTCTAAAAAGGCGGCATCATCTTTCCCTATTCATCACTCAATCGCCTACTTGTTAAATGTTGAAAGGAAATTCACGAAAACTTATAATTGCAAAAGCAACGTGTCATATTTCTATAGTTTATTGAATTTTTTTTTTATCAATTTATACATTAACCCCCCCGCAAAACAAATTTCGGCATATCGATTTACAATTTATCAGTACTTCAACAAAACAAATCGTTAAAGAATGCTTCTAGGACTTTTCTTACGCAAGTAAATCCAAAAAAGTACACGACCAAAAAAAAAATTCAAAAAAGTATGCGGTCTTCAATATATCATCGTTATTCACATACATATATATATATGTATCTATGTATGGTCATTAAGGAGCCTGTTTGAGTTGACTTTCGCTCCAATTTGATGCTTTCAAAATTCGAAACAACTAAAATTCTCGCAACCATGTGAATTCATTTATATTTCCTTTCGTAATTACCTAAAACGTGATTAATATACTAGATTTTTGGATAGCATGCCAAGCACCAACCTTTTTCGGTTTATTCATTTATCTATGCCCAAAAAATGTTATGCTTGTAAATCTATTTTTTTATAGCCCCGCCAAGCACTAGTATTTTTGGAAAGGATCACTCGGCCATAAGTAGGACCGTGGTCCATACCTCGACATTCACTTCCATTTATTATGACTCGTCAAATCGTGCAGTTGGGTATTGAATATTGATAAAAACAAATAGATTTTTCCTGATTATAACGTCCCCACCTAATAAAGTTTGCCCTAATTAGATTCGAATGATAATGACGCTAAGCCCGGTAGATGACTAGGGTTTTCGGCTGGCTAATCGGATCGGTGTGTCGAGCTCGGTAAGCAGAAAACAATTTTTTGCCCACACGCATTTCGTGACTATCTGTAGAAAAGCCCGTCTCAGCATGTATGTATCTCTCGAATGTTTTTTTTCTTCACTTGATAAATGATCTATCTCCGGCATCTATGTACGCCTTTGATGTGGGCGGACATCGTTTAGCCCAAAACGATGTATTCTCGAGAATTACGCGACCAAAATGTCTAAAAATTGGCTTATAAAATGTGTGGGTTTAATTTCATGGATATAGGAAGTTAAGACTCCGTTCGTTTCGCGGAAAATGAATGGTTTGAAAAATATTTTCCAAAAAACGATCTCTTGTATCGCTTACGAAAATGAATTAACGCAAAATATTTTCGTCATCTGCTAAAATATTTAGACATAAACTGCCGTCGATAACGATAACATTTTGCATTGTCTAATTATTTCAAGCGATATCAACAATCATTTTTCGAAAAATATTTTTTAAATCGTTTATTTTCCGTGAAACAAACGGAATGCAAGTAATTATAAGTGTTTGGATGCGATTTTCATCCCTAATTGCTTTTACAAAGTTCCTTTGGACTTTGAGAATTAGATAAGAACATTAAAATATCTCAAATGGACCGGTCCCGCGGTTCACAACTTGCAAGATTCTAACGCACGACAAAACTCAAACTTACATGTCACAGCGCGCGATCACAGCGCACTAATCGCAGTGCCATGACGAAGGATCTTTCTTTACCTTACAGCAACTTTTTAAGTTATTCATGATTCGTTTAGCAACTTGGCATTTCTATTCACGTACTTGGAACATGGACCTCTCATTAAATGAAAATATCTTTCGTAAGGTATATCTATAACTACTACAAAAAAACATTATTTAAAGTTAATTATTTCTTGTGAAAGATAATATCACTCCACAACTCCGTTTATTTTGCGGAAA